TCATCAGGGGTCTTGGTGTTGGCCGAGAGTCGCCGAGGCTCACACCGGGCCCAGCCCGTTACAGGGACTCTTCAAGGCTGCATAGCAACACGATCAACTTCATGACTGTGTCCAACTTGGCAAAGGGTATCAAGCTGCTTCCCGTGCGGAGACGGGAGCCGTTTCTGGCTGGTTTTTTTTGTTCTTTTTTTTTGTGGCCTCTTTATGCTGTTCACTTGCTGGAAGCGGAAGTATTGCGTTTTAGCACGCACGGTGTAAGAGGATAGATACATACAGTCAGGGTTCAAAATTTCCATACACCCCACTTAATTAAACGCGACTTTCCACACGTCGCGACACCCCTCTTCTCTTCCAACACCAACGACTCAACGCCATGAAGCTCGATTTAGCTGATTCCGGAGCCGAATTGACAGAAAATCGCGGCCGTAACGGGGAACTATCACCAGTCGCTCGTGCAGCTATATGCTGTGCTGTAGCTTGCGGTAAAATTACCGGGCTGTAGCAGACGCGTTTGGCGTCTCCGTCGGCGCTGTGCAAGAATGCCTTCGACGCTGGGAAACTCAACACACCTTTGATTCGAAGCCTCGAAAAGGCCGTCCTCAGAAGTTCTCGCGATTGGAGAAGCGGTATATGCTAACTCTTTTAAAGAGAAACCGGGATCTCGCTAAAAAGGCTCTAAGTCTCCTACTCGACGATACGTCGATGCCTCCGCGCTCACAACCTACGCAAATGGAAAGCAAAAAGAAGGATACCTCTCTCGAAGGAAGATGCCCAAAAGAGGTATGACTGGGCATATGCGTGGCTCGAAGATATTGAGGAATTGTTGAGAGTTCGAACCCTCGATTCGATATGTTGCTTTCCTTAATTAATCTAATCTAGACGTTCTTTTCCGATGAGTGTTTTTGTCAAAATAGCACTTCAAATCCGACTGCTTGAGTATTCCGTTTCCCTTCCGAGAAGTTTGACAAGCGGTTTGTCAACTTAAAGAACCATGTTAAAGCGAATATCACGATCATGGTTTGGGGAACGGTATGGAGGGGTGGTCGAAGTGAGCTCATCATCATGGAGAGAGATGAGGACGCCCCTCGCAACGGATATACAGCCAAGTCTTATCAAAAGGCTCTCCAGGAAGGTCTTCTACCTCGTTACGACGGTACAAGGCATTTCCAGCAAGACAATGCTAAGATTCATGTCTGTGAAGTCACCCAAGGTTGGCTTGCTGAGCATGGAATCGAGTGGATGGACTGGCCTCCGCATAGCCCAGATCTGAACCCCATTGAGCATGTTTGGGCGGCTCTAAAAAGGAACCCTTAAGAGGACGTTCCCTGATCTCTGGGAACTCAAAAGGAACGAGCTCAATATTGAAGGTTTCAAGGAGAAGTTGCGCTCGGCGTGGTGGGCTATTGACCAAGCCCTTATTGACAGGCTGATCGACTCGTTGCCTCGCCGGCTTGCCGCTGTCGAAAAGGCTCGGGGTTGGTATACAAAATATTGAAGCATGGGAACTAGGCTACTATCCTGATATAATAGCTTTCGCCTATCTTTAATGGTTGTTGAGATATCCGTTGTTAAAGGAAGGTGTATAAAATGTTGGTGGCTGGGTTTAGTGGGGTGTATGGAAACTTTTGACCCCTCACTTTTACGTTATATTTATGGACCAGGTCTCAAGTATGACGGAGTAAGAACAGGATAACGTTAGTCCGAGCTATTATATAGTAGTCGTCCCGGGATGATCTTCTTTGGGAGGTCTCCTTCTCCGGCGACCACTGCAACCCAGGACCGGGCTACCTTTGTCGCCGGTACCGGGGCCTCCCTCTTTCTCTGGGCTTGTAGTTCTCTGTGGGTTTCTTGCACGCTCCAACACGGCTGCCACCACTGCTACCCTCGCCCCAATCAACTTCGACTTTGCAAACGGTGGAGACAACGACGACGGCTTCCAAGTGGCCGGCAGAAAGATGATGAGAAGAAGACCGACAAGTGCAGCCGCAGCCCAGTATCAGGCTGCTCGGAACCCGCAACAGACCATAATCAACTTCGAGCCGAACGGGGTGCGGTTCGCAAACCCGTTGGCAACCGATGCTAGCAACACCGCCCCCGCCTGAACAAACCTCCGAACAAGCTACTGAGTTGACGTCAGCCACAAACACTGCCTCTGCGGCCACCGCCGCCTCCTCACTAGATGGAGAAGATACAGTGATGGACTTTATCACCGTCCGAGAGGATGAGGTGTAAAATCCTACTCTGGAACACCGAAGGTAACAAGCAGGCTTTGGAAGTACCTTCTCGCGGTGCAAGAGCCGTGGATCAACAAAGAGACAAGTCAACATATTGCCCCAGGAGCAGCAAAATACCACCTCGTGTTGAAGCTCGAGGGCCGGGCAGCGATATACATCAGCAAGCGGTTTGAAACCGGACAGTGGGACTCTGAAGCGTCGGAGAACTGGTGCCGGGTGTGGCTTCCCGAGATGGATCTCGGCCAGGGAGGCCGCGGGTTCAGGCTGTGGTCTATCTACAATCCTCCAAGCAGCAAGGAAGTGCCGAGTACCCTCTCTCGCCGGCCATAGCCGAGTCGCCCAGTGGTTTTGGCGAGAGATTTCAATTTACAACACCCCCTGTGGGACAGGTTCGAGCCTTACGACGGAAGAGCCGATGACCTCCTACGGCTGAGCTCCGGCTGGGATATCGTCATCCAAACGTCAAAAGGAGCAGTCACACGAGCCCCACAAGGGCAGCAGCGAGGTCGTACATCAACCATTGACCACTTCTGGACTTCGGCGGACCTACAAACAGTGTATTATGGCGAGGAGTGCCGGGGAAAGTCAGATCATTACCCACAGGTGCTTGAGGTGGGAGAAGGGGACGGTCCGAGGCTAGCCCAGCCAGCCGGGTGGGACTGGAAGAAAATGGATAAAAAGAGAGTGAAAGCAGAGTTAGAGCTCCTGTACAAGGCCATTGGGCTCACGGACCCAAGACCGGACCGTCTGATGGTCAGAATTCGTACCGTCGACGGGCTGAGCAAGGCCTTTGACGATGTAACACGACTGGCTGACCTGGGTCGCGGGCGAGAGCACCCCCCCGAAGAACGCGAACTGCGCTTCCAGCTCTCCTTGGTGGACTCGGGAGGTGGAACAAGCCACTCGAGAGGCAAAAAAAGCTGAGAGACTGGCTGAAGCCCGCACAGACTACTACCGGGAGCAGCTCAATGAGAGACTGAAGGAGCGTGCCAGAGCAATTCTTAGGTTCCAAGGACTTGGTTGGAGAGCGTTCACCCTCCATTCCATTGCGCCTCTGGGTGTAATTTGTCAAACTTCCGGTCTGCCCATGCTCCTCGGAGGGAGTGGATGGCTGTGGAGAATGCATGTGCAGGTTGAGAGCCGAGGGAACGGACTTGTAGCAATGAGAGTTGTTGGATTGGTCGTCCTGACGAGAAGTCAGGCAGCGTACACTTATGGTCGTGGCAGGCACTCCCTTGTCGCGCTCCTTACCTGCCGCTACCCTGGACGCGCACCGTCCTCCAGCCCAACACCTTGTGTCCTGGGTTCTCTCGGCGAGACCGACACGAGGCCCACCCAAACTCGTCCCCCAAGCGCTGACCTACATAAGAGCAGTCCGTCGCAGGTCGAGTCACTCAGTCAGTCTCAGGGCAAATCTTGCCAATGATTGGCAGGGATGTGGCGCCAGCTGCATGATGCATGTCGGCGAAGCGATCGCCAGGCACAACAAATTGCCAGTCCGCCTGAAGAGCCCTTGTGCATCTTGGTTGGGCATCTCGGGAAGTCCATAAGTGGAGACGTTCGAAAGTGGCGTATCAGAGCGTGGTAAACGACCTTCAAGGACTGCTTGCTCAGGGGCGCCGGCCGCCAACAGTGTGAGCGACTGGTGAAGGGTGTGCTCTTGCGGGGAAGGGTTGGGGGGTAGAGACTTTGCAACTCTTTCGGTGTGCCGTCGTATATCCCATCCTTTCCGTGCTCTCGTACCTTGAGGGTACCTCTTACGATCCCTGTTTGTTCTGCTCGCGATCCAGCTGGGTCGTGCTTGTCCTTTACCGCCACTCGAGACGGGGCCCTCGGTCTCAGCTCGTCGGACGGCAAAGGCAGCCGGAGCAGCTTGTACCAGGAACTTCCTCGGTCATGGGCCTGAGCATCTCCAGCCGTTTTGAGCACTGCTGTTAGCATCATTCCACCAGCCTGCCCCGTAGCCACTCGCTTGCAGATCCGTTCATTTGCCGCCGTCCTTGACTCGCTGTCGACGGCTGGCCATGTGGCTGGCGCCAGGCAAAGGGCCATCTACGGTATGAGAATGCCAGACTGAGTGGCACCGTAGGTTCGCCCTGCATGTGTCGATGTTTGTCTCATTCATGCCTGGGCAGGAGGCGTCTACAAGGCCTCTCGGGCGCTGATCGTTGCCATGTACAAAGGCTTCGGTTGGACACATCACACTGACTGTGAGGGCTATTGAATACGGTCGGGCGAAGTAGGCAGGCCAAGGTTGTGTTGTTGTTTTTCGCCGAAAAAACGAGCAAGACTTCTTGCGTCAGGGAGTGAGATGTGAAGGTTTGCTTCTGTTATTAGCTACTCACTCTCGTGCCATGAAATGACTTGCAGTTCTATCTGGACAGAACTAACGAACACCACGAGTTCGGTTCAGCGGCCAGTCCAAGGCTTCCATGAATGGATACTGCCGGACAAGGCGTCCAGTGTACCCTTTCCGTACCCTGTCCATTATTTTGTAAGAATGGGTATTGATGTGACGTGGACGGCGCATCTGAGGACCAACGAGCTCGACGACGTGGCGGAGCTATATCGCGAGTTTCATCATAAGTACCTCGCCTGTCCGTGCTGTTGCCGTTGGTGTACTGCCTGGCTTCTTAGATCTGGTGCTATAAGATCTCAGGGGTAGTAGACAAATCCGGTTACCCTGGAAACCATATGAGGGGTGCACGGATGCTAATTCTGATTCCTTCGTCCGGACCCCAAGGACCACCACGGTATCCAATCAGGCCTCAACGCGCGACCGCGGACGTCGGCTGTTCTTGATAATCACAGTACGCCAACCTGTGTCCCCTCGGCCTTGCGCTCCCTTCCCTCCTTTTCCTCTTCCACGTCCACTACGCTGCCACTCGTCTCGCCACGCTGCATACTTTTTTTTCTCTCCATCTCTTGTCTTCACCCTCTTTCAGCATTTCTCGAACCGCAGACGCTCTCACCCGGCAGCTCACCCACCAAGCCGTGCGTCCTTGCGGCGTAGCCGTCCTGAGACCTTCCAGATTCGCCTTCTTTGTCGACTACAGCTTTTGCTGATGACCGCAGTCTTTTAAGACTCGTCAACGTAGGAGCTCTCACGATCTCGCCGTGCTCTCGTCCTATACGCAGCAACACCTTATATCGCAGGGTTTCACGTAGTGTGTAAGCCAACGCCATGTTTGCCTAGCGGATTCCAGGCGCACTTGCGAGACCACGTCCCCGCTCTGACCATCTGCAGCAATGCCGCAGAAATTGACCGCGTCGATATATAGAGGCGCCGGAGAAGGCTACCCCTTCTCCACTCTCAGTGTCGTATTCGGAATATTGCCGTCTACAGAATACCCACGTCGTTAGCCGCGATCGGGCTAGATACGAGCGCAGCTACGGCAAAGGACGCAGGTCGCTGGTCGCGAGAAACACAGCTTGGTGTCTCGGATTAGATCGGATCACACGCCGCTACTCCGGCGGCCGCAGACAGGTTTAGGTGGGCGGGGCCTGGCGTCGACGACCATAAGCGCTCGGCTTAGCTAGGTGATCCGATTGGCAAGGGTCCTCAGGGCAGGTCGCAGCGGAACTGGAGAGGGGCTGAGGCGGACTCGACATGACGTGACCTCCCAAAATTGCGAGACTTCCATTACCGCCACGCGCTTAAGTTCCGTTTCTGTTTGGCGTAGTACGTACCTGGAGGTGCGACCCTGGTGCCCCTCGTCGCTCATCCAGCGGCAACCCGCACTGAGGCCAGTCACAGGCCTCAACTTCAAGTCATGGACGCGCTTCTTATTATTCACCTGATACATGAATCGAAACACTATTCAGGCTGCTCTCAAGATGCTGCGCCAGGCCACTGATCACCTACGCCAAATATCTGTCGCTGGAAATCCGAGCGAGTCTGTAAACAAGGCAAGAGCATCTCCGTGACGACCCATCTCTTTCCAAGTGAAGGCGAGATTCTTCATGCTGGTCAGCGTGTCGGGATGTGTCTCTCCCAGCACCTTCTTTCTCGCCTTCATCACTTGCACCTGCAGCGACTCGGCCTCCTTCCATCGGCCTTGCTTCCAGTACGTCAACGCCAGGTCGGCCATACTAGTCAGCGTCAATGAATGCTCCTCTCCCAGTACCCTCTTCCGCGTCTCCATCACTTGCACGCCCAGCAACGCGGCCTCCTTCCACCGGCCTTGGTTCCAGTACGTCAACGCCAGGCTAGCCATGCTGCTCAGCGTGTCGGGATGCTCCTCTCCCAGCACCTTCTTTCTCGTCTCCATCACTTGCGCCTCTAGCG